TATAACAACTTTTTATTACGTTTCGGGGCAAGCCCCTTCTTCAGATTACATGTGTACACTTGATTTCAACTATTTAAACTGTCCATATCCTAATTATAATAATTCGCTTGATTAACTCTATTGTTCAAACAAAGTCTTTTAATTAAATTCAACCCATGCGGTTCAAACCGCTTGTGTAATTGTACACTCTGGATGTAATATGTTAAGATGAAAATGTTCTAGAGTGTGTATTACTGATATAATTTCCATACCCAGCGGAAGCAGAAAGATGTTGTCTGCCGCGGCTGGGTCTTGAACCCGCGACCTTCGAATTACTAGATCGACGCTCTACCAACTGAGCTACACGGTCAGACAAAGTGTAATTAGAAAATTTATTGAATGCAAGGTTTAGTAGTCAATAGGTAGGTACATTTTTACTGACACAAGTAAGAGAGGGGGGGGGGCATTACTTTTTCCGGGTTATGGCAAAGCAGGGTCACAAAATATCATTTTTTAAAATTTTGAATTACACCTCCCCAGTTAAATTATGACCAGTCTCTAATTAAGAATTTTTTGTTATTTTCAACCGAATACTTTGGGCACGCGGGAACTGGGAAATTGAGAGAGCACGAAAAAGCGTAACTACGCAAAGCCCATTTTCCACTAGGCGAATTTGTTCGCGCAAAGGGAAAAACAAATCTTTGCAGGTACAAATTCGCTTAGCCGAAAAATTGGCTTAATTATGTGTGCTCTCCCAATTTCGTAAGAGTTCGATTGAGCACGCAAAATCATGAAAAAATTTTTCATACCATTTCATCAAAAACAAGTTTTCTTCCGGCTGATCATGATGAGATTTAATTTTCTCCTAACGCAAGCAAAATATCAAAACGTTCCTAAGCTTGCCGGCGAGCGGAGCTTCAACTATGCCATAAAAAGATAAATTAAAATACTCAATTTTGATGAAGGCTTTTGTATATATCTTTTCTTACTTGAATTGCTCATTTGTTTTGCACTAAACACTAGTATTAAACATTTTGCAATCTGTAGTACATTTTAATGTGGCCGGGCAATCATGGAAGTAATATCCGTAGACTATTTTAAAACGGATCTTGTCTTACAATCTTGTAAAGCCATTTTATTTTTAGTTAATACAAACGTCCATGATCGCTAGAAATAGTAACTCCCCCCTCCCCCTACCACAATGTTGGCTCAAACCATTGTTATTGGACCACAAACCAACATTGTAAACGGAGAGGGGGGGAAATTGGGAATTCTTTGAAAAGTCTACGAATTAATTTCCATGATTGGGCTGATGCTTTCCAGGGGTGGAGGCAGTTGAAAGATTCAGCCAGAATTTTTACGGAGGATTGTAATGAAATTACTGCCTCGTACACAGGTGCTTATTTGTTGTCAGTTCTATGGCTTGCGTGGCCTTTGCGCGGGCCGCGTGGATTAATTTGATCGATTGATGAAATTACCTGAATTTAACCTATCCTCTGATGAATCTCCCCGAACTTTTTGATTTTTTCTAGCATTTGCCCGAATTTTCATGGTTTTCCAAAATTTCACCTGTCTTGTACGCCTATGGTTGTGTAGCCAGCAGAGCTTTGGCCGTATTTCCGGGGGGTTGTGCTTTTAGGCTAACTACTACTCTGAACATGGCAAAAAATCTATTTGACTTCCGGCTAGTAGAGTCAGTAGATACTAGGCCCCTACTAGACCTACTAGAGTTTCGCTAGTCTATAGGCTTTTATATACCTGACTGAAGACTTCCACATAATATAGTCAAACGTAAGTAGCTGAGTGTTTTTAGAGTTTAGGTCTTTTTATTCACCAAATTATACTTTTATATATTAAATTAAACAACGAAAATGGTTTTATAATTCCGCGCTTTTTGCCGCGCACTTCAGCCAATCAAAAACGTTCTTACATCAGTATTATAATTAATAATTCCAAAGTCCAAATATGCAAGGATGCATGCTTTCGTTGAAGATTCAAGAACCTCAAGAACTTCCTGATATTCACTTTGGTCATGGAAGCAGACGTTCCCCAGCCAAAGTATTTGAGCGTAATATGGCTTCTTCTTGGCCTCATTATTTGTATTGGAAATATTTTTACCAGCTTTATACTGTGGCTATCAAAAGTTAGTCGTGAAAAGTCTGAACCTGGTCGAAAAATTCATGGACTATGGAATCTTATTTGTACGAATCTCGCTTTCTCTTTGGTCGGGTTGAGTTTGCTTGTAAATATGGCGACGCTTTTGGCAAGAAATAATGAAATCTCCGATGGATTATGTGACTCTTCTTTGGTTTCCTGCGTACATTCGGTTTTAATTTTGCTGTAGTTGGAATTCTTGTTGGGCTGCTGGACAAAATATACAATTTACTCAAGCCATTTAAATATCATAGTTACGTTGGAGGTGAAAGCAATGTTCCTATAATTATTTTTGTGTGCTGTACATTATACGGCATGTTTATGGCAATTATACCTTTGACGAGACTTGGTAGTTACTACCAATCAAAATATGCAATTTGTTTAATACAGTGGCACAAAGAGGCGGCAACTCGAGTGACTGTGTTTTTTGACCTTATTCTATTTTTGATAACTGCTGCGCTTATCATCATATATCTATGGTTAATGCGGAAAGTTTACGAAAATCGAAGGCAGATGAGGGTGCCGTTCACTCGACGTAAAGAGACAATGGTTTTTCAGTTGGTTGTTTCAAGTTTGTTTCTAACTTGTTGGTGCCCATATATGGTAAGTGTCAATTCAACATAATACTGGGTTTCAATTTATAATGTTACGGCATGACAGCAGATGGTAGCAAACTTCAGAATTGTTGACACTTATGGAAAAGTGTGTGTTCCACTGAATACAAGAATATTATGTACAACAAAATTAGTTTTAACATTTTCTTAGGCCTGGTTTATACAGCATACTATGAGCGCACCAAATCAATTACTTCACTAATAAGTTCGCTCATAGCACGCTGTCTAAATCAAATTGGTTCACTCTCTGGTTATTAAGCCGTGTAGCAAAGCACAGAACACGTCACAAGTAATATACAAAATTATTCTGGTTATAAATAATATATGGTAATTATACAAACTATGTCTTACGTATAACGACTCTGAATGCCATACGCCAAAATGATGTACGTTTTTGGCTTTTTATCCATCTGCCAGAGCGCCAGTTTGCCAGAGCGCCGGCAGTTTTGCCAGAGCGCCAGTTTGCCAGAGCACCAGTTTTGCCAGAGCGCCAGTTTTGCCAGAGCGCCAGTTTTGCCAGAGCGCCAGTTTTGCCAGAGCGCAAGTTTTGCCAGAGCGCCAGTTTACTAAAGTGCTAGTCGGTTTTGCCAGAGCGCCAGTTTGCCAGAGCGCCAGTTTTGCCAGAGCGCCAGTTTCGCCAGAGCGCCAGTTTCGCCAGAGCGCCAGTTTGCTAAAGTGCTAGTCAGTTTTGCCAGAGCGCCAGTTTGCCAGTTTTTTGCCAGAGCGCCAGTTTTGCCAGAGTGCCAGTTTTGCCAGTGGCAAGTAAAGGAATTCGCTGCTTTTCTTTCAAACCATATCGTATACTGAACTTAACTAAACGTACTGCTTTGTTTCAGAGAATTAAAACAGAAATTACTTTGACGCAAAAGAAAATGCTGAAATATATTGCGATTTACGATTAAGTTAAAATTGCAATTCTACTACTAGAATATACATGCTCTTGCGTTCAATCTGGTTTGTTATGCGACCTTTGTCAGTTTGTCTTGCATATGAAAGATTTATTACTGTATATATGATCACACCATCTTGCATAACAAGTTATTGTCTTTGTCTATTGCTCGTATTTGTTGAGGAAATATTGTTATAATACTTTGATATTTCTAAACCAGAGAGTCGAAATTCAAAATACCTGCCCTGAAGCAGAACTGCGATAACAACGAGCCGGTAATGTGGCACTTGAAGTGTCACGCATTTAATCAAACATTATCAGTAACATAACAATAATGAAATGTTTTGAATAGTTCAACTTCACGAAAATAAAGCTATTAAGCATGTTAAATTAATATTTTAATGTGTTATATAGTATTATGCGCGTAACGACTATAACCGCGAATGTTTCGCGTTTGTATTCACTCTTAATTAAATCCTTAAAGTGCATATGACATTAATACCATTTTTTCACCAAAAATCAGCAAAAATTAGACAATTCGAATGATATATATCATTCCTTGATCGGATAAATACTTCCAGAGATAATTTAGATCAAACAGGCCAAAAAATAGGGTTTTTCAAGACATGGCCGGGAGAAAAGAGGCTGAGTACGAATCAGGTTTGTGATGTCACACCGGGGACGGAAGTGAATCGACTCATGTTTTATTACAATAAATATCTATTGTGTGCAATGAAAATTTGTATACTTTGCGCTTCGAAATGCCTGTTAGATATGTTGTATACGGTTGTTACAACACAACAGATGCTGCAAATCAAATAGCTCTACATCCAATACCATATTATGGAGATTTTCGGCTGCAGTCATTAAGGAGAAGGAAACATTGGATAGATTTGGATAAATTGAAGCGAGCCAGATCGGAGCCGTCTCGTCAATTGTCAAAGGCATGTTTGCACACAAAGACATATTATGGAGATTTTCGGCTGCAGTCATTAAGGAGAAGGAAACATTGGATAGATTTGGATAAATTGAAGCGAGCCAGATCGGAGCCGTCTCGTCAATTGTCAAAGGCATGTTTGCACAAAGACATGCACTTCATGTCGAGGCTAAAAGAATGCACATTTCCTCGACTGAATGAGATATGAAATTGGGATTAGCGTTTATCTGACGGTACAAACTGCGGTCGAAAGGCAGGAGGACATATAATAATGCTACTAAAAATGCGAGGATGATTTTATATACACGCAAGGTGAGATAATGTCTTATATTGCCTTTAATATACTTGGTTTTATATTTGTTGAGAATAATAGTATTGGATATTAGGAATAAAAGGAACTTTATTAAATACAATTGTATTATACTACATTAAAATTAGATAAAAGTTCTTTACACCCGTTTTCAAAATTACGCGACCAAGGGCGAAAATGCTAGAGTTGACATGTCAGTTTTATGTCATTCGATCACGAAGTTCAAACTTTGAGTTTTGCGGTTCCTTGTCGATGTATATGCTTTGTATGCTTTATATAAACAGACGTACAATGATTTTCAAGATATTTTAGTGAGAATTATTGTAAAATTTAAGCACAACAGAATCATAACATCACCGTTATAGTCTAGCGCGCGTGTTTTATACTGACAGCTAAATTCCAGGATAAATTGTTATTTTTCAAACTTTAAAAGTCATTCACGGCACATACTTCTGTTGTGATGGTTTGTATGGTGCTTTAGTTTGTATATCTAAGTTATGTCATTCATATTTGTTCAGTTTTGGTATTAAATACGGTTTAAAATGTCTTTAGACAGTTTGTTTACGTTTGCTATTTTTAGCAGTTCTTGGAACATAAAACTGACATTTGAAGTAGGAGTATTTTTCGGGGAGGTCGCGTAATTTTGAAAACGGGTGTAAATATTTTTAATGTTTATACATAGTTTTAACAATTGTATGTATTCATGTAAATATAGTTTTAGTAATACTTTGGACTCGTTAATTCAGCGTAAATATACTGCAAGAGAGTTTCAATAAACATCAAGTAATAAAATGTTCGATTTGGACCTGGCCATGCGTTACAGGAAAGACTTTTTCGTGTTAAATAATGTTAGAAACAATGGCTGCTTACACACAATAGATAGCCTAAGATCTACGACATCGACGTCAGCTAGAACGTCAGGGCTAAGCAGAGGACTGAGAATAGGACGTCGTCCTAAATAAGTATAGATAGCTCAATATCTACGACGTCAAATATTCAGTCTATTTAGGGCGGCAAGCGGAAGTAAATTGGTAATAGGTTTTGAAGTGTGCATATGTCTCTCTCAATTTGCTCGTCGTCCATCAAACGTCGACAACCTCACAACAAGAGGTTTACCGTCGTGGATACAAGAGCATAACAAACGGTAAAAGTTCGCACATCTCGTTTAAATTCATTTTCAAAAGGATGTAAATATTTATAGTTTAAATGTCTACGTCGTGAATCTTAAGTAGAAGTTTATTTATTTAGGACGACGTCCTAGTCCCAGTCCTTGGCTTAGCCCTGACGTCCTAGCTGACGTCGACGTCGTAGATCTTAAGCTATCTAATATGTACTCTGGCAACATGGAAAGTTAGGAAGTGGAAACAGGAAAGTGATTCCAAGCTGTTGTGTTACAGCAATACGGAGATGATATCTTTCTCCAAATGGGATATACACGGGGTATCATCCTGCTATAGATTGTAAACAGAGGAGGAGTGGTCACTATACCGGGATGCATAGCGATTATTCCAATAAATTATATATTATTGATTTTCCACGAGCGGGCGCTTATTGTTCGCTTGACCTTCACTATCAAAACAACAAGAGTGAGAAATATGGCGGATTTTGTAAAGCCGACCACTGCCATAAAGCTTCAGTTTTGGAAAGACACGATATTCTGTTTGCTCATTGTGTATCGTCAGTGCCTACGCTGTTGGTTCCTATGGGTTATCGTGTGTTCAGTTTTGAATGCCGTGAGATTCACATCAGTTTTTTGGATAGTTTGCATATCAGAAGAATCGCTATTTTAGTTGTCTATTTGTCTCTAAACGTTGATGAAATATTCACCGATTGCAATAGCCCAGCATTGATAGAGATACATTCCAGTTGTGCTTTTAGGGAACGTCGTTTGCTTTAATCGTTAAAGCGAACACAAAGGCAATGTACCTACACAATGCCTTTTGTATGATTCAGATTTTTATAGCCAATGGCAATGTTGGTAACAATATTTGTGCTTTCCATTTTGAATATATGCATATAGAGCTAAAATAGTTTAAGTTAGAGAAACTTAGACTGTTCATTTGGTTTGATCATAGAGGTTTGATTACTTTGGTATTTTATTACTATTAAAGTAACTTATTTAATTATCCATTGAATTGCATGAATCACATTAATTACTATATTTTTTAACTCTGTCTCATGCCAGATTGCTTTACTCTGTCTAATGGCAGCTGGCCTATCTGCCCATGGGTTTAGTTAACCCATTGAGTCGCACTGTCCCCGCATGCGCCCTGCTTTAATATTGTACCTTGTTAAACTGCATATTGTTTTCATATATTGCAGTTCTCTGACCTCAATGATCTCGGGCAAGATGGAACAGGACAATCTCTTATCTTTGAGAATATTACCTTGTGGGATTTCGATATTCCGCCATCCCACCTTCTCAAATAATTCAACCTCGAGATCCAGATACTGTTAATGAAGACTTGGACAGTGTGCTGTCACCAATAAATTTACAAGGGCAAACTGGATGTAACTGTGATCTACAACCAATAAATTTACAAGGGCAAACTGGATGTAACTGTGATCTACAACCAATAAATTTACAAGGGCAAACTGGATGTAACTGTGATCTACAACCAATAAATTTACAAGGGCAAACTGGATGTAACTGTGATCTACAACCAATAAATTCTGTGTGTTTGGTGGATATTACTCTACAGTACAGCATTGTGGATTGTGAAAAGTGGACCATGGGACAGAGATGATCCAAGAAACAATTAAAACAGTGACACAGATTACTAGAATATTGTAAATTATTTTATTATGGATCCCAACATATTTATTTTATTATGGATCCCTACATTGTAAATT